ATGGATGGATGGATGTTGTATATGTTTGTCAATTTCATTCAGTATTTTGTTCATTTTCTTGATTTGTTCATTTTTGTTCAAGAAGGGATTTTGAGGAAAAGATGACAAAAACAAAAGTAAAAATTTGGAAGATGAATGATTATGATTGTGGGGCTGCAAGGTGGCGCAGCTGGTTAGCACTCTTGCCTCGTAGCAAGAAGGTTGCCGGTCCACGTCCCGCTGGGGGCACCAGGATCTTTCTGCGTGGAGTTTGCATGTTCTCCCTGTGCAGCGTGGGTTCTCCGGCTTCCTCCCACAAGTCCAAAAACATGTTGAGGTTAATTATTCTAAATTGTCCATAGGTGTGAATGTGTGTGTTCTTGGTTGTCTGTCTGTGTAGCCCTGCAGTAGACTGGCAACCTGTCCAGGCTGTCCCCTGCCTTCGCCCTAAGTCGGCTGATATAGGCTCCAGCCCCCCCGCGACCCTAGTGAGGATAAAGTGGTATATAGATAATGGGTGGATAATGGATATTTCCAATCTATAAGTGACTTTTTTTCTATTACACACACTTACACATTGAAGTTTTCGATCTGAGTTAATTACAGTGCTTAAACAAATGAAAACCTGACAATCAAAGGAAATAAAAGCTGTGGGTGTGTGTTCAGGGGGGCCTTAAAATATTTTTACTGGCAAGAGGGGGGCCCTGTTGAAAAAGTTTGGGATCCACTGCACTAAAGTACTAACGCACACATCTCACAAAATCAAAGCACTGCCCTTTTGTGATATATAGTACTTACGAGACATTGCTCGAAAGGTTCTTTGGGCTTTCCACAGAAACACTGGAAGGCCTCAAAGTGCAACATCCTTGCAATGTCTGACAATGTTAGAAGTCTACAAAAAATACAAAGCTGTATTGAGATTTAAAAAGAAAAAGTTTGCAAACAAAAATTATTTCACAAGACCAATCGAAGTTACATGAACTTATAACACTATACCTCATCATCAAGTTTCTCCAAGAGATTTTCCATTTCCTTCCCAAAAGCTCCTTTTTGGGCACAGTACAGCCGGAGAAGTTTCGGTGTGTCCACTGCAGCTCTGATGTTCACAGCAATTCTTTGTTTGTGATGCAGAAAAACTCCTCACAGGTCTGCCAAAACATATCCAGGATATGTACACATCAGAACAATTACTAAGAATTCAAAATGATAAAGCAACATTTACACATACAAAAAATGCAAAGGGACACAAAATGGTAAACCCTTACCTGTTCTTTAAAGAACAAAACAGGCCATCTCTTCTGGATTTCCATCACCATGGTTTGCTCCTCCACTACCTCTCTTCTCCTTAGAGAGAACTTTTCCCAAACAAATGAATGATGTCTGCTTTTCGTTTTTTGTTAGCTGACACTTCACTGCAACCTGCCTCTCGCAGCTTTGCTCTGTAATTATTGAGCTTGTTCCGAATGCTAACCAGCCATCCTTCATAGCCTTTACCTTTACCAGGCTCTTTGAGGCAAGGATGCTTGAGTATCAGAGCTGAAGCAATGGATTCGAGTTCATCATGATCCAGATAGGCTTTGATGTCAAAAGCTACTTGGGCAATTTTGCTCAGAATTTGAATCTTCATGTCTCTTGATACATCAATGCCTATTTTGTTGTTTTCATATGACTCATTTCCCTTTCTGAAGAACAATAACTTCAGCATAGTCACTGTCTTCAAGTTCAAATG